AGGCCGCTCAACAACGTCAGCAAGGGACGCCGCGCATCGCTCGAGGGCAATGTAGAGGAAACCATCACGGAATTCTTGTGCGTAATATCGAATGACTGGACACTGTCAGCGGTCGGCTACATGATGACGTACATTGCACTTACCATTCGGATGGTCATCACTCTCGCGGAGAAGACGTGTTTCTTGTGACGCAATGTCGTAAAACTGAATAAGCATACGCTTAACAGCGACCTCGCGACCATCGAACTTGCCAGCGAAGACAAGTGTTCCGTTGCTGCCCGTGCCAAGCTGGTTATCCGTGTCCACCTCAATGTTGCCCAGCTTGATAACGGGGCCGGTGACAGATTGCATGTCGTTGGCAACAGTGACGACATCGGGCTCTAACTTTGGTGATCCTCCCAGCTTCTGAGCGTTTTTGACAGCATCCTCCACGGTAGTGGCAGGCGGATCATCGTCACGAGACTGAGACATTTCGCGCTTCTTCGCAGCACCTTTGCGATGCTTCACACCACCCCTCCTGCCACGATGTGCCTTGGCCTTCTTCTTCTCGGCAGGTGTGCCCGGTTCGAGCTCAGCCTTGCTGGAAGATTCATTCGACTCAGGCGAGTCGGAAGCTTGAGTGGCTGAAGCCTCCCTATCATATTCTTTCTTGTCGCGGCTCTCTGTAGCAGATGGGGCTGGGCCTTCATTGTCTGTCGTGGAAACGATATCATCTGTCTGGACAGGTGGTACCTCTCTTGCCTGGGTTTGGGCTGACTCCATCGGAGCAACCTTGTCGTCCGACTTGCCAATGATTTCATCCGATTTCGACAAGGGCAGGATCCTGCCATCAATGGAATGATTGGGCGTTGGTTCAGGCGTCGGATCGCCAGCTTCAGAACGGTGGTCGCGCTGGAGCAGCCACTTGTTTGATTTGTTCTTGTACCACCGTATCAGATCCTTGTGGTAGAAGAAGAAGGCGCCAACAAGAACGATGATAAGAACAGGATTGCTCAGCAGATCGCGAACGCTATTGGCGGCCTGCTGAGGGATAGATTTGACCTTTTCTACAATGTTGTGCGGATCAAGAGGGTCAAGGATCTCGTCAGGCACCACGGAGGGCAAGGCGGCATCATCCTGAGAGTCCATGGCAGGATGCGAGATGGGGCTGCCTGGTAGGGTCGGCGGCTGCACTTGGCCGCGGTCGTGGTTGGCTTGCTTGAAGTTATGCCTCCCAATCATGGCGTCGGCCTTTTGGCTTTGAGTAAGACGACTCCAAGGCCGGTTGAACGAGCCCCAGTCAGACCGCGATGTCAATGCTGGTGGCGAGTCCACGATCAATGGATATGAGTAGCCAGAGAGCGCATACCAACTACCAGCATCGGTCTGGTTCAGGAAGACATGGCTGCCCCGCATACGAGCGGTGACCTCATCCTTGGGTGCAGGGATGGGTTGGGGGAGAACCAACAAGTCTGGGTTCTTGTCAGGTGTGGCACCCCAGGGGCGACACACGTCGAAGACACGAGCAACAGGTGCTGCGAATTGGTGGCTAAAGAGTGGCTGGTCCTCGGGATCAAAGGCGTAGACACGACCATCATGACGGCTGCTGTGATAGCGGTTATCAAGCGTCCGGCTGTATGAGTCGACGAGGTCCTTATCAAAATTGTTAGGCGTCCATTCAGAGTAATTGAGCTTGGCAATGGCGCGTCCATCTTTGCGCGTGATGGCCACTTCGTACTCCGTACGGCCGAGTGTGATGGTCCCCATGACACTGCACTCTTCCGAATCAACATCAGAGAGGGCATTGGGCCGCAGGCAGCTCTCCTCATTTATGTGCGATCCGCTGGACCCGAACCACTTGAGAACCCTGCCAGTCGCGGCGTCGATGGTGATCATGGTCGTCTTCTTGGCGCCAGTATAGATCACGGGTGGGTCGTCGTTGGCGAGGGGGGATAGGTCCTCAACGAGACGCTTCATGGTGAGCCCAGTTGGCACGAGCGCAGGCTCGCTGGCGCCAGTCATCCAGATGTAGAGACTGCCGTCGCGGGTGGGCTCGACAGCCCATATATAATGGTCGACGTCTTGATGGTCCTCATCGAGGTCTGACGCGTTCAGTCGGAAGTGTTCTGTCTGGACCATGGGTTGCTCGACCTCAAGGTGCCACCGCTGCGCGCCAGAGCGGCGGTCACTGGCATAGAGGTCCCCATCGACGGTCGCCAATAGTATGAAGTCTTCCACTTCCCATTCCTCCAGACTCCGCGCTCGTTGCGGCGATGAGATGCCAGACCCGCCATTGAGGTGGGCGCTGGGTCGATATCCGGGGGAAGGTGCTCGCACGGACTGAGCCGGAGCCAAAGTTGCGACGGCGCGCGCATCGTTCTTGTTTTTCTTGGTGTTGATAATTATGTTTCTCTTCTTCTTGTTGTGATTGTTGTTATCATCCATGACCGTGTCCTCGCGTAGTTTCGAGGTCAGAGCGTCGGCAGCAGCGACGTCATTGTCAGTCTCGGCCCAGACATCGCCAGCCAGGGCATCAAAGCCTTCGTGCCCGTGAGCGCTGCGGGCATTGTGCTGCTGATCGGCATGCCGTACATGATGCAGTGACTGCGCACCGGCCTGTTGCTGCTGTTGCTGTTGGCTTTCGACAAGCGGCAGACACGTCAGGAAGAGGACGGCAAGGGCGAGGAGAGATTTTCGCTGTTGGGCTCCGGACCGCCCTTCGCCTGGTGGTCGTCGGAGCATGGTGCGATTCGATGGATTGACGAGTCACATTTAGGCCTGGTGAGATGGGAGGTGCTCGCGTCGAGACATAGAGGTTGTGCGGTTGCGTTTGGTCGGGAGGGTGATGGGCGCGCCGGGGAAAGTCGTACGTAAATGGACCTAGAGGGTCGTACCTTAGGTTGAATGGTGAGGGGCTGCGTGTGGATGCAGTTCCAGGCAGCCTGTCGTGGTTTTGGATGGGCGTCCGTGATACTATTGATGAATGGCCGGGCTTTCTAGGCTTCCGTTGATGAAATGCGTTGCTGTCCTCAACTCCAGATGGATGTCGTGCTGAGCAGGATAGAATCGAGTTGGGGGAGGGAAGTGGGTGGAATTCAATGGAGGTTGCGGGAGGTCGGTAGAGCTGGGCCTCTTCTCCTTGTGTGTGTGACATGGAGTGAGCCCCGGGCAGTGGCCATCTGTGCTTGAAAAGGGAGCCTTGGAAGCCTACCGGTACCTTAGGTACCTAGGTACCTAGGTACAGTATCCAAGCGGGTATGATGTGGAGTGGAGGGGGCGGCGGTTGGCTGATCAGGTCTGGTTTTTCGCCCTCACGCCGTCTCGTCTTACAGGGTTGGGATCCTGCTACCACGACCACCTGGAGGAAGGGGGAGGTAGGCGGGAGGGGTGGCCCTGCCTAGGCTCTTGGAGGGTCACACCATGGTGGGGGCTAACGTGGTGCAGCATTCAGGGTGACCGTTCAAATAACACTGTGACGTGTGATGGCAGATTGCTGCAAAAGTGCCAGCTGGGCGACAGTGCGAAGGGAGCACATGAAACGAAGACGTGCCCTAAACTTTCGTGGGCGGCTCGTGCACGGGTCTTACTTAGTGGCTTCACGGGCTGGGGTGGAGACTCGGTTCACTGGAGTACTCATGCACCTGCTCTCCTGTTGAAGATGCTCTCGCACGTCCTACTGCGTCTTTCACGCAAGCCCCATATGCGAACCCGCCAGTACCTAGCTGCGGGAGTTGCCATAGGTCCCCACCTTCATCATGTCAAGGCACAACTCCTCCACACGAGCAACGGCCGCCGTCACATGCTTTCCGCGTCTTCAAGTCCATGAAAGTGGTTGATCAGCAACCGTATACTCAGTAGGTCTTTGGTGAGTGTGACCCATAATTGAACATTACGACTTGTATTCAAGCATCGTGTGCGAGGGGTGCATCGCAGACAGCCAGTCAATATTACATGGATCAGCCCAGTTTTTGTCGCGATGCTCTGTTACTCATGCGACGTGAAACTATCCGGAATCTTGTTGGAAATTGTTGTACGTGCCAACGTGGGACGGGCAGCCGTAACGCTGACTCTAAGTATCTACCTACCTTACCTAGGTAGGTAGCCCACTGTCTTAAACACATACATGTACATGGAGCAAGGAGCCCCAAGTGTGAGACTGGTTTGTCGGATCATAACGCCATGTATCCAATCCTTCGAGTGTCTGATCTGTGCGCGTCATGGCTCTCGGGGCCGGAAATTCGAGCATAGCGACACAGCCCTACATTCACCAGTTGTACGGCATCACTGGCTGTGTTTGGCTCCCTACCTACCTAGGTACCTACCTACCTATGCTAGAGAACACATGGCGCGTGCCATTCAAATACCACGGACGACATTAGACTCCGGTACCCCCACCGATTGAAAGCACCGCCATACACGCGGCGTTTCGGTAACATCGCAAATTATATTTCTCCCAAACTCCTGCGAGAGTGTAGCATATACCACCCGACCAAAGCATCATTCGTACGATTAAGAAGTACGAGCGCAGTATTTCGTATCAGCTCAAGTCAACTCGGTCCACATCCCCGGTAGTTACTTCTCAAGTAGGTACTCATCATGGTTTAGCTGAGGTAGTAACGCCTAGTAATTCAGACACGTTGTGCGACTAAATTTGGCAAAGCTTTGGCAATCAAGAATTCCAACAGAAACTATGTACAAAGCTAAATACGTGGTTCCTCACGCAGCATACTAATTCTTTCAGTGGCCCATCATTGTTCATCTGTATGTCTTTATTGCTCAGTCCGAGAATCCTGTTTAGGCTAATTAATTTGGCTGATGGAGCAATTCAGGCTATCCACAGCTTTCTGCTGAGTTTCCATAACCAGTTTCATTCCCTTTCCACAGGACCAAAGCTTGCCGATTTGGCTGTCTGGCCGCCATGGTATCACGAGGCCTTCACTCTCGAGAAGGTCACGACTACCATGGCACCACGGCTAATCCTTTCAACGATACAGTGCCATAAGAGACCTCGTGGCAAAGACTTAGCATCGGGCAAAGATGGATTGAGCGAACAGCGTATAGGTATCGGCGTGGTTAAGGTTCTGAGCGGCGGTCAGGCTCTGCACAAAGTTGTACCCGTAACCACCACAGTCGGAAGTGCCGGCAATCTGGCTCATGTGCGTCATCTCATGCAGATGGTCCTCTGTTGGTCCTGAGCATGGCAGCGGCTGCTAGTAGGGGGCATCTGGTTGAAGAAGGTGTCGCTGTTGACCATGAAGCTCTGCGAGGGCAGCGCATAGGCGATGACACCGGGCTTGCATGGGTTGTAACGTCGGTGCAGCAGTATGTCGAGATGCCAGAAGTCGTGGAAGGTCATCGGCATCCTGTCCACGCTCGTGGACTCGGTAGGTTGTCACCGAGTTCCGGCGGTGTAATCGGCTAGAGACTCACTTTCAGAACAAGATCTCGACTAACCACTATTGTGCCTTTACAGCTTGAGCATTAATCATCAGATATTGTAGATCAGAGTACTGAATCTTTCTGAATAACCGTGTGCTATCAGCTACTGGAAGTCAATGTGGTACCCAAGAGCATTGCACCCTCGCCTCCAGCTCAATCGTCTAGGATAGATAAAGAAGCGGAACAGTAGAACGCCAATCATGTCTCCGACTGGAAGGTCGATTATACTACAAACAAAGGGCTCCAAGGCGGCAAAAGGGCACCCAGACTGATCGACGAGCCAGAACACGTAGACTTTGAGACGAAACGCCCCAATGAAGGGGCCCTGTCGCTTCCAAGCGGACGAAGGATGGACTGAGCCGTGCAGGGAAATTCTTCGTCGCATAATTGACCGCTCCAATGAACAACGGCAGTCGCTGCGCAGCACCGTTGACAGATCGACAGCCAAGCCTTATGATGCAAAGCCGACTTGAACCAGCAATGACAAGCCCGCATGTGGGCTTGGTGCTAAGGGGTTATAGAAAGACTGAATGTGCGCCAGTTGGCCAGAAGCGCCGTCCAGAAGCATTCAAGCTCCTGTCAAGGGGAGCGCCACTGGGACCGAGGACTAGGAACCACAATGTCTACCCGTATATTCTTTGTTCTTGTCAGCGGCGGCTCAATCAACGGAGCATGGCCTAGTTGTAGGTGATCTGGTCTGTCACCAGTGTGCCGGCATCGCCGGATTCCCAGTCAATTGAGACATCAGCGTGGTGGTTCGATGAGACTGCTTATTGCCGAAAAGGCAGTGTCAGTCGATGACGATGAACCCGTCCCTCGAGATCATGATGAATGACGATGAACAACATCGACTTGAGTATCATGAGTCGGCAGGCGCGCCGCTTACAACTAGTGCCGCACCATGCTAGCAGGCAGCTGCCAAACATGTGGAGAATACACATCAAAGCGAGGGCCAGGGACGAGTTTCGGCAGAAGAAACGACCCGCGCTGGCGAATCTATAATGTTGTCGTCGAGCATCCCCCTGGTGGGTTCATGATACGTGCTGCCCAGACAATAGGTGGACTAGCGAGACGAACCGCAAAAGCCCAAGTTTATGTTGCTGTGATAGCTGTTGTCGTCGTCTCATATGAGGAGCCTCACGAACGGGGGTGCAGCCGCGATATAGCGCGGGTGACTGGGGTTCGCCGGCATGAAAGACGGCAAAGCCGCCGATTGTTGTGGGGAAGCATGTTGCGGTCAAGAGACTGCCGGAGGCGCGTGATTCGGAGATTTGAGGAGCAGGAGTCATGTTTGGGAGTCATGATGGTCGTCATCTGCTATTGGCGTGTGGCATGTCGTTGTCGACCTTCCATTTTCGTGCCGTGGCCCGATAAGGTCATGCCTCCGATAGGCAACCAGAACAGCCTCCATGGACGACGGGCCACATCATCGAGAGTGAAAGGGACCTTGCCGCCTGCGTCGGCATTAGACTGTCGTCTTTGCCCGGAAAGAGCAGGTGTGGGACAGAGGTGGAGTGCGCACTCGAATGTCATACTTCCGGGGGGTGGTGAGGGGCCGTTGCTGTGAAGAAAGTAGAAAGTTGGTCAGCCACAGAACAAGCTTATCTGGCAGATCAGGGACCATCGACCTTCTCTCAAACCATTTAAATCCCACCAACCGCCCCATCCCTTTAGTGCCCAAATTTGACCTCAGTACTTTGTATGATCGATAGCTAAATGGCAGAAAACATAGGTCGTCCATTGAATTAAAGGACATAGCGAACTGTACATCTAGATGCGTGTGCGTTAAGGTATGTTTCACAGACGTACCCGCCCTCAATCATGTACTGACCTAGTACCTGCTTACATGTAGATCAAAGCTCTTTAGGTAGGTGGTGATCATTTGATGTACTGAGGCCGAATTTGGGCACTAAAGGGAAGCTGTTGTCGCTGAACTCGACGTTCTTTAGCCCCGGCACTTCATCAAGGCCTACAGGTTTCGCCCATAAGATCAGCAGAACTCAACCGCAGTTCGACCAGCACCCGATTTTAGTGCTAGTGCCTGTTGGTAGCGTTGTCGATCTGTTCCGTCCTTCCCCATTGACGACTGGCCTTTGATCGATTTTGGTCAAGACGCGTATTTCCCGACAAATCTTACGATATTGGGAGACTCCCAACTGGAGTGAAAAGCACTCGGCCCATCACCACTTCATCCAGGGCTTTTCCGGCAGAGCCCCGTCGTTACCTTAACGTCATTGGGTCGCCAGACAGCGAGCATAGAAAGTGTTAGGAGTTCACAGGCCTTCCCCTCCTGCGCGCACAGTTACACTTCATACTCTCTCATATTCAGTCATTGTCACAGTACGGCATGAGCTCCCAAAGCCGCAACAACCCGTTCCGCGCTGCTATCATCGTCTTCACTTTCGTAGCGGCCATCACCCTTTGGCGCTACAGCAGCGGCAGCACAACCAGCACCGCCACCGCATCCCGCACAGCACCCGATTCCCCAGTCATGGCTGTCAGCAAAGACCACCCGAACGCGCTGTCCAAGCTCGCCGTCGACATTCGCCAGACGGCCACGTCGCCGCCAACGCTCGCGGTCAAGGTGACCAACAACTACGACAGCCCGCTGACGATTCTCACCTGGGAGTCGCCCCTCGACCCCGCCGCCATCGCCCTTGGCCTCCTCTCCATCACTCCCGCCGGCGCCGACAAGCCCCTCGACCTGCCAATCGTGCAGTTCCGCCGCGTCATGCCACCCGAGCCGGATAACCTCGTCACCCTCCAGCCGGGCGAGAGCCGCGGCCAGGACCTCGTTCTCAAGGAGCCCGCCGTGCCTGTCGGCGAGCTTGGTGGGAAGGCCAGCATCTACATCCAGGGTTCCTGGTCCAGCGTGTGGCCGACGACAGCCGACAAGCTGACGCCCGAAGAGTTGGAGAAGCTGCAGTTTGGGGACTCTGTGCTATCTGGTGGCGAGTTCAAGAGCGACGCCCTCGAGGTGACGGTGGGCTAGCCACCTTGCCTATGCGTTCCCTGTGCCTTCTTCTTGGCACAGCTACCCTGATGATTCCACGAAACAATGACGAGGCTCGCTTTCACAGAAGCTACCATCTACTATGCAGTGACATGTTGACAACCGTGAATATTGACGAATTAGATACCGCAACAATCAGACGTCCATGTCATGTCGGTGGCGCGTGACGTTTTGCGACTGGACCACCATATCACCCCGCTTTCAGCTGGCGAGGGGTCGTAAAAAGGACCGGCACCCCCGGATGTTTGACCCCATGTTTCCCTCCCTCTCCTAGGTCCTATATGACCAGGCGCTTGGTCATCGTACTGGCTGTCATATTCCAGAATCCAGCATGCACACAGGCCTTTGTCGCAGTGTTGCCCGTCATTACGCCTCTCACATCTCTATCCAGCACAGGACTGATCTCAGATATAGCTTTGCAAAATCGTCAATTCGTTCCAAGTCTTTTCGCCTTTCCTCCCCTCTCTCCGTCTTGCCATTGCATTCTATGTCTAACAACTAACTTCAGAAGCAAATGCAACATTGACCAGGGGTGAGCGCTGGAACTGGTGGACATGCTTGATGGGAGGCTACCAAGAGCCTCCTGGCCCTCCATGACCCGATAGGTCCAACGCGACGACACGCCCAGTCAAGCAACCGTCCGTGACGAGACAAAATCAGATGTTACGCAAACTCCAAACCACCAATGTGGAACGCTTCGAATATACAGGCCCATTGTGGTTGATGCGTACCACCATACCATCATCACGAGGCTATGGATCCACAACCGGGACCCTCCAAACTTGTCTACTGTCCAATCCGATCACTGCTCATCCGTACGGCCCATGGGCGGCACACCAATGTGGTTACGGTTGCGGAAGAACAGGATGCCCTTGCCGGCACCCTCAGCACCCACGCTGGGCTCAACCCACTGGCACGAGCGTGCTGAGGTCCAAAGCGAGCGGATGAAGCCCCAGGGACCGTCGCGGACATCAGCACGGTAGTGCTTGCCCATGACGGGCTTGATGGCCTCGGTGGCCTCGTCGGCATTGTAGAAGGGGATGGAGCTGATGTAGTGGTGAAGGACGTGCGTCTCAACAATGCCGTGGAGCAGGTGGCGACCGACAAAGCCCATCTCTCGGTCAATGGTAGCGGCAGCACCGCGGACGAAATTCCACTGCTCACCGGTGTAGTGGGGAAGCGAGGGGTCGGTGTGCTGAAGGAAAGTAATGGCAACTGCAAGACGAATTAGCTAACGACCGCCACAGGCAGCGAGAGATGATGAAGGACATACCAAGCCAGTGGTTCACCCACAAGTAGGGGATGAAGTACCAGACAGCCAAGTTCTTCCAGCCAAAGGTGTTGCCGAGGTAGAAGAGGCCGGCAAAGGCAAGAGCAAGACCGACATCAGACATGATGACCCTCCAAGCATCGCGGTTCTCAAACAGGGGGCTGCGGGGATCAAAGTGGTTGACGCCGCCGCCGAAACCGTTGCGCTTGCCCTTGCCACGGCCCTCGCGGTGACGCTCGTGGTAGTTGTGGCCGGTAACGTTGTTGATGAGGTAACTGGGCCAGCCGACGAGCTGCTGGCCGACGAGGTGAAGCAGGGTGGCGATAGGAGTCTCTTCAGTCAGCTCAGCAAGCTCGTGGGCCATGGTGCCGAGGCGGGTGGCGTGCTCCTCACGAGTGCGGGGCACGAAGACCATGTCGCGCTCCATGTTGCCGGTGGCCTTGTGGTGCTTGCTGTGGGACATTTGCCAGCTGTAGTAGGGCACAAGGAGTGCGGAATGGAGGAACCAGCCGGTGACGTTGTTGACGCGAGTTGAATCGGAGAAGGCGCCGTGGCCGCACTCGTGGGCAATGACCCAGAGACCGGTGGCGAAAAGACCCTGGAGAACAGTGTACACGGCCCAAAGAGCGACACGGAGAGGGTACGAGGGAATGTGATGCGGCGTCACAAAGTTGTGCCAGACGGTGAACGTGGTGGCGAGGAGAACCATGTCACGGGCGATGTAGCCGTAGCCCCTGAGCGCAGAGCGCTCGAAGCAGTGCTTGGGGATGGCATCGCGGATGTCCTTGATGGTAAAGTCGGGCGGGGTGAACTCGTTGCCGTACGTGTCGAGGAGGACGCCGTAGTTGGGTTTCTCGCCAGAAGCATCGATGGAGGAGAGCGAAGACAGCGAAGTCGACGAAGCTGAGGGTCGGGGCGAGTCGTTGGGCGAAGCCACTGCAGTAGAGGGGGAGGAGAGATCAACCTCGGTAGAATTGGCGGTGCGGCGAAGCTGAGGGTTGGCCTTGGCCGGCAACGAGGATGTGGTCGCAGCCATGGTACTGGTGGCTCTTGGGAGATACCGACTCGAGGTTGTTGACGGATACCGGTGAGGGCAAGGTGAGGGGGGAAGAGAGGAGAATGGACACGAAGGAAAGAGCAACACAACCAGATAAGAGAAGGAGGTGTTCTACGAAACAGGTATTCGAAAAAGAGAGGGAAAAACTTATTTAGATGGAAAAGCAGCCGGGGCACGAGCGGCAAGTTCAGGGGAGGCGGAGGGACAGGCGTCAGGTTAGCATGAGACGAGGATGCAAAGTCTTGAACAGTGCGGCGGGTTGTGCGTGGCGCTACCTAGGACTGCTATCGTGCCATGTACCCTTCCTCCCCCTCCTCTATCAAGTCTTGAAAATGGCATGTACCGAGAGGGGATGGCGAAAGACAGGAGGTGCCGAAAGGGTTATCGCCTTCCGCCATCCAGAACTACGGCGACTCCAGGAGAGCAGGAGCAGCCCGTTCCCCAACGTTTTGTTGAGAAGACGTGGGGTCGCCAGGGGTGGTAGCAGCAGGGTGCCAATGGCAGGGACGGTAGGCTCGACCGCGCTAAGAAAAGGTACCTCAATGTTGTCAAGCTTTCGACCCTGCTGGGCGCATTGCCCCGCGAGTTGGGGCCTTTGGAAAGTCATCGATGTCTCGCTGCAAGTACCGTCTCCTTCCCGGTCGCTGACCATTGCCTGGATGTACTGCTGTTAATGAAGCTACCTAGAAAGTGAGAAATAGAGACAATGCACCGTAATGCAAACTTGGCGTGCAATTGGCTTGTGACAAGCATGACGATTGTGTTTGGCCTGTGACAGTGGTCACATCATGCTGCTTCACCTCAGCCAGCCAGCCATTGCTTGCGCACCGCCAGTGAATGCTTGGAATCCAGGTACTTCGCATTCACTCCGTCTACATCGCACTGCACCAACTGGCAACACACCGCTCTTCAGACAGCGACGAGTACTCCAATCTTGTACACAGTATCATTCTCCGCATCAAATCCACATTGGCCATCCGCTGCAGCTTTCACAGCCCTGAGAACAGGCAGGCGAAATACAAAAAAAAAAAAAAAAAAAGACTTTCAGAGACCGTAGGGTTCGCTAACAAGCCGAATCCTCAGACCTCCCCTGTTCATCGATCGTCCCGCCTGCGTGGCAGAGCTCCCAAGACCTTTGATGCCGCTGCCATTGGGCTGTTTCATCCCGGTCTCTCCCTGGCCCGTCTTCCTGAAAAGCCTGTCTGGTCTTGTCTTGCCTCGACGGAACATCGGGCTACCTTTTACCCTCGAGTCAGCTGCGCTAGCCCACCAGTCCCTCAAAGCGTGCGAGCGGGAACTTGACTTCTAGAAGGCAAGATCCTTTCAATGCCCAGGCACCGCGAGCGGGGAATGTCCCGTTTGACACGGTCGCAGGCTGAGCAAGCTGGCGCTCAAGACGGAGGCATCTGGCGTCCTGCAAAGTGGAGAAGCATGCGAAAATCGCAGCAATGAGGGGCAGTGTTTCCCCCCCCTTTTTGCCTTCGTCGCTGCAAAGTTGGATGGCCTTGTTACCGTTCTCTGTTCAGGCTCCCGCGGGTATGCATTTCTGTTGGGGATGCAGAGACAAATTCCGGGTACTCGCAGGGTTTTTTTGTTGGGGCGTAGTCGGCGGTCCGGGCCTGGGCATCGGCCGGGGCAAGACGCATGAGCGGTACTCACTGGCCGACCTCCCTTCCTTGACCAAAGAGTGAAGGCATGTGACAATCACTTCCGAGGACACAATACAGGCCATCTTTGGTACTGCTGTCTGCAAGGCACGCCTCGATCACCTTAGGTTTCGGTTCAGGCAGGATGCCTAATCGTCCCAGTGGACGCTTTTCACTGCACTCAGAGAGATTGTCTCCCAGTGGCCTACACCCTCTCTGACCATTTGTTCCGTCATCCGATCTTCTCCTTACCGACCGTCGGCACCAAATCTGACCAGTTCGCATGTGATTTCATGGCCGCTGAGAATAAACACTTAGAGATGGTCACATCACCAAAATCTTATCACCAATTCTGAATCGATGGATCGTGGCCCAAGGAGTACCAACAGCTGGACACAGAGAGAGAGAGAGAGCGCCCCACGACTCGTCTGACAGTCGAACGGTTGTCGCCTGCTTTCACCAATAACCTCCGCCCTGGTGTTTACCCAGGATCACTCCACGTCATACCACAATGGGGTTCTCAATGGCCGAGGTTTACGACAATCCGCAAGCCACCCCCTCATGTGGCATGGCTAGAAAACCGGGCACAGTAAAGGTAGGCTAGAGGATTGTCGATCGAGGATCTACCCCGCCGCGGGAGAATGGCGAAGGCGGCTGCTCTTTCCCCCTTTGATGCGCATCGGACTGCCTCGCCTCATTCACGGAAACTCAAGCGTCTCATGCAACATATCTAAGGCTGTCCCTCTGGCCATCAACCAACCGTGCCCATTCCAGCAACAGCCGGAACATGTACACTTGTATGTCCTGCTTGCGCAACGCCTAAGCCGCCCACGCCCTGCCCTCCATGGCGATGTTCTCCCCCAGCCCCGCTCCTTTCTTGTCCCCGCCAAAGAAACCCAAAAGATCCCAGAGCTCATGCAGGCGCACGTCCACCGGTACATAGTGTCGCCACGCGTATACCCGCTCCCCGAACCACGTCCGGAACAGCCCCGTACGGTAGACAAGACTCCGACTCCGTAGGAATGGCACGAAGCGACCACTGTAGTCCGCGCCGTCGAGGTCCATCAGGTGTCGATATTGCCAGTGCTGCTCGAACGGAACTCGTTCCAGGGGTGGCTTTTCGGCGCCAGACCCCCAGAATGCTGTCTCCTCGGAGCGGCAGTCGTCTTGGTGGCATTTTTGGAACTCGTCCACAAAACCAATGTCGACCCTTGGAAGCTCATGGTCATGCCTTGGTTTGTTTGCCGTCGACAGGGGGAGATGAGGCGCCGCATGGACGAGCCGGGCGCGAAATGAAGTCTGCCAGGACCCGCGTGCTGCGTAGCCGTCAGACGCTGATCCGCGCCAAAACATGGTGTTCTCCTTCTGTTCCCACAAAATCCCTTGGTCGTCGGCATATGCGGTCTTATCGTTGAAGTTCCAAGGCGAAGGCAACAAGATGTCAGCGAACCCCTCGGCCTTTGTCTGACTGAACACAGGAAACGCCATTTTCGTCGGCATTACTGCAGCTGGCGACTAGAGGAATCCATGTAGGTAGGCGAGATCCGGTTGATGGCACAAATCTGTCGCGTTTGTCCAGTCAACAACGACGCGCGAGTCGCTTTCGAATATGGATGCTGTATGCGGTGCAACACAGGCGGAACAAACATCTCGGCGACCCCACCAACGCCAGTTCCTTGCGGCTGATGTCGATGCGCATGCAGGCGCTACAAAGCTGTAATAGATCTGGTTGCGCAACTAATTTGTGAAGTAGGGTGATGGATCCATGTTGTCTCGCAGCTTGACCTCGGGCCACGTGGGCCCTTGGGAGGCATCAAAGGGACGTAGTTTTTCCCTCCCCGCAAGTTCTGATCGAGCCAATCGCGAATCTGCCTGGAGCCTATTCGTGACTTCATACGGAACGGCCACTCTTGGCTCGTCGTTGAGGTTCATGACAAAGTCCAAGTCTGGAAGGCGTTGTGCAAACGGCTCAATCATCTCGCGCATGGCTGACATCATCCAGGCATCCCTTTAAGACCGAATTCAGTCTCAGTACAAAAAGCCGACCATGAGCCGGGCCACCGCCTTCATAATAGGTTTAGCGCCGTTATGACTCGAAGTCTTCCTCAGTACCTATAGTCTTGAATCAGTCTTGCATAACCCACTAGATTCTTCACTATACACCCTAGCATACCTGATGTTATTAGGTGCCCATAGTACTATGGCTTATTTGTGAATGTATTGTGGGCTGTTCTTGAGATTTCATTGGCTATATAGCTGATTTCTGCTATATTAACTAGGTCCTTCTATACGTACTTTTTGTACTGAGACTGAATTCGGTCTCAAAGGGATGGGAGCCGGGCACGCCCGGCATAATGTTAACCGTGCCATTTCGGATCTTGATACCTGCCATGCTGAGCGTGTACAGCATGTGCCTCGTATGCTGGCGAAGGTCAGCCGGCGAACGCCCCCAAAAAGGCTTTAAATCGATGCTGATCTGGCCAAAGTCATCAATGACAACCGAGCCTTGCATCGTCGCATATTCGTACCACTTGTCAAGGTTGGGCGGCGGCGGCACCTAATAACGCCGACGATATTCTTCAACCGCTTCCACGAGAGATATGCTGCGGTTCGCCTAAGCTACCCAGTGGTTGGAGCAGGCATTGCCTGCACTAATGAGATCCTGTATGGGGATGGCGCCGCCCAGCACTATGTCTGAAGACCACACGAGGGAGGCCCCAAAGAGGATACCCGCGAGGACAACGTAGGACCTAGCGAGGAAGCGAACTAGGCGGACATTGCTGGCAGGCAGTCCCGTGTCGGCAGCGGCCCGAGGATGGAGCCTCAGGAGTATGCCCGGGGTGAGGACAGCGTTGATGACTGCGAAAGTCATCAGAGACTGGTTGATCGGTGGTCTGCTCGCCAATGTACGAGCCAGATGATGCGTGTAAACGACGACAGCAGTCATGGCGAGTGCAAGTGTGCTCGGGTGCATATATGAGAGCAGACAGATGCCGGTAAGAAGAGTGACATAAGTAATCGAACCATTGACGAGAAGGTCGCGCACAGCCACATAGTCAAGCATCAACGCCCATCGGATGTTTCGAGGACGATAGAACGAGAACATGGCCAGGAAGCTGAGCACCCCGGCCGAGGTTAACAAAGTGCGCGCAGTGAGGAGCCATGCGTTGGAGATGTCTCGTCTGCTCTCAGCCACCCGAGTAATGAGCATGGCATCAATGAGCACGGTGACGCACTGGGCGAGGGGCGTGTGAGGCTCCCAGCAAAGGGATCCAGTTGGGCATATAGCCCCTGCTGAAGACGAGGTCAACCTGATGGTGACCTGTGAAGCGTGTGCCCAGATCAGCGCGAATATGATATATTGGGCGCAGGCCAGTTTGGCTCTCCAACCGCCGCTTCTCTCGCTGACGGCTTTGCCCAATTGAATCAGCTTCAGCAGCCTGGTGGCGTAGACTGTTGTGAATAACGGGAGTAGAGTCTCGTAGCTAGTACTCGTGCAGTGCACGGTACGAATGACACGCCAGGTGACCAAAACGCGCACAACGATGCCGCCGACAGCTAAACAAGTGCCACAGAAAGAAGGGGTGCGGACACTGTCACACGTCGAGTCGATGGGGGCCTGCCACGTCGGCTTGGCAATGGGATACGTGGTGTCAGGATTGTCTGTACCCAGATGGGTCTTGTTGATCTCTTTGAACCTCCCTGCTGCTGCAATGGCTTCTCCAGACAATAGAAAGGTCATAATCGCAAAGTGGATGGGTCTCTCTGGGTGTATGGTCAGCTTTGGGACCAGTTCGCTTGCATCTCAGTTCATGTCAGTCATACCAAATGCAGCGCTCGAATTATAACGCAGTGAGAGGCAGGCAACGCCAAAGAGAAAGAGACTATAAAGCATCAATATTGACCATGCTTAAGACGGTAGTGGCATATGGTCAGTATGCAGAAGACTAACGAGAGAGCCAAGCTGGCGCGGACTTGCGAACCTACCATCATTATCGCATGAGACAGATCGCAGAGCACTCAACGTAAGATGCCTTCAGTCAAATGACAGCATTGTGTAGCCCAAGCGCGACACAACACAACAACTCAAAGTTACAGGCAAGTCGAGCAAAAAATAAGATTCGGACGCAAGTTGCGGTGGTTGGGTGGCTGCCTAGCCATATACTTGGGTAATACGAAAGGAATGACGATGATCATACGTATTTGGTGGGTAGGATTGAACTAGTACGTGTGTCCACCAAATGCCCCTATTTCTCCTCCTCGAGTAAATCTGTTGTTACAAGACTCCGTCTATCAGGTCAGTCTGTCGTGTAACGCAAACTGTCAGCCCGGGGGGCCGCCGAATCGCGATACGCCGTGCAGCTGGCCTCAATCCGGGCCCTGGGGTAAGCAAAACATGTTTCTAGGGCGAGATTCACTCCGAGCTTGACACGATGCCACATTACGTGCTTTCGCAAGATACACGGCAGTCTCATCACAGTTCCGAGTGCAACAACTCACTAACGCCGGCCTCTAATGGGCAAGCCTGGCGAGGGGTAGTCATCAGTCGTATCCCCGGACCTCGGCCGCATGTGCCCCTAAGATACAAGTCAAGGCTTGGAGGCGAGCCATCCCTATTAAACTTGCACGCACCAACTTTCATGTCTGTCAGGGTTCGTTTTGTCTACCATGCTGTCGGGATCTACCTCACTTGCGCGCGACCTCTAATCGTCTGTACAAGGATTCCATCGCTCAATCATCAAACTCGTGAACCCTTCAGGCGGCGCCATTCGCTGGTACCGCATTACTCTTCTAAGCGCGCTCCCGCCTCCTCGGCGCTGCGCGAATAATGTCATCGACACGGAGGAGAAGCTGTGAATCTGTTAGCTAAAAAGCACAATATATGGTGTGAATTAGATGAGGCTCACCTCTGCCGCCTCACTTGCGGAGGACACCACCGCCTTCTTCAGCTTGTAGCTCTCCACGACGCCGAGATCCCGCATATCAGCAACACCACCCCCAGGCGACATCAGGTCAAGGCCATAGGTCGTCATGCCGTCGTAAATGGCCTTTCGAAGACGTGCCACAAGCTCACCCGAGTCCAGACCCGCGTTATCGGCAAGAATGGTCGGCAGTTGCCTGAGCGCCGTGGCGAAACTGGACACAGCCATCTGCTTCTTGCCCTCGACACGGGTGGCGGCGCCTTCAACAGCCTTGGCCATGACCATCTCGGCACATCCGCCGCCTAGCGTTGTCCTGGGCTCCTTGACTGTTTGTGATAGCACGGCTAGGGCATCGTGCAGGCTGCGCTCCGCCTCGTCCAGCAGCTGGTCGGTCGCACCGCGCAGAACAATGGTGCAGGCTTCGCCCGCGCCGACGCCAGAGAACTTGACCAGAGTGTCCTCGCCGATGATGACCTCCTCGATCAGGTCGCAGTGACCCAGCTGAACCTGCTCGGGGTGGTCAAAAGTGGAAGTAATCTCGCCGCCAGTGACCAACGCCAGCCTCTCGATACCATCAAAGTCGGCATGCTCAATCGACATGATGCCGGCGTCTGTGAAGAGTTGCTCAGGCCAGTTGTAGATCAGTTGCCTGTTGATGAAACAGTTGACGCCATGTGCCTTGATCTTCTCCACCTTGGCCTTCATTTTGTCCTTCTCCGCCTTCTCGAGCTCGGCCAGCTTGCTCGTCGAACCGACCTTGACGCGAGCGCCAAAGATCTTCACCTTGTCCGTGTCCATGGACGTGTTGGCAACGAGAATCTTGGCATTCTCGAGGCGCTTGGGCTGGTTGACACCAATCTTCTTGTCGAGGATGAAGCCTTCGTCAAGGTACGAATCGCTGAGCTTGCCGCCGGCCTTCTTGATGATCTGGATGTGGCTAAGGTCCGATGACTGTTTCAGGCGCAGAACAGCATCGCAAGCGAGTTCGGCAAACTGATCGCGGTCCTGGGCGAGGACTTTAGAACTCAACGTGGTCCTGGCGATGGCAACCAGATCCTTGCGGAAAGCCTCGGGGTTGTTGCTGCGGTCGACGGCAGCGTTCTCCAGCGCCTTCAGGGCAGCTTGGCTTGCTAATCTGTATCCCTCAATGATGGTCTGGGGGTGGATCTTCTTGTTGACGAGGATCTCGGCCTCGCGCAGCAGCTCGGCGGCGAGGACGGCCACGGATGTAGTGCCGTCACCGACTTCGTCGTCCTGCACCTTGGAAATGTTGACAAGCACCTTCGCGGCAGCGTTATCGAGAGCAATGGACTTGAGGATAGTCGCGCCGTCGTTTGTAACCATGATTTCACCGGTAGAGCTGGGCTGTTTGTCAGCCGAAGTGTCCACCGATATCGATAGGGGCAGCTGCAACGATGTAGGAGGGGTAGGCAGACATACCCAGATTGCAGGATCTTGTCCATGCCCTTGGGGCCGAGCGTACTCTTCACCAGGTCGCCGACGGCGATGGCGCCGACAAAGGCAGAGAGGCGAGCGTTCTCGCCCTTCTCCTCGGTCGTGCCATCTGCGAAGATCTGAGTCGGGCTGAAGGACGACTGCAGAAGGCACGGTTAGCAGGGCCGTGGACAAGGGGGACAGGCCTCAACGGAAAACGTACCATAATGTGAAAATGTCGCAGAATGCGTGCGATTCGACTCGGTATGACAGGGGGACGTGCCGCTGGTTTCTTCTCGCCGTATCGTGTGTGTGGGCAGAAATGGGCAGAAGGGGGTCGTCGATATGCCTGGTACCTTACCCCGATGTGGTGATCCAGGAGCTTCTGGAAATTTTTGGTTCAGCCTGCCCTGTCCCCTCGTTGGTGGGGCTTGGGGGTGAGTGGGAGCTTACCTGAGCTCACCGTCTTTGGGCACTTCTGGCAGGAGCCTGGGACGTGTTCGCGTGGCTGACAGACGTGGGCAGTGGCTGAGCTGTGCGTCATGTGACCAGCGCGGGGCCGAGCGGGGTCCTTCCCACGCCTCTCAGCGCAACTGCCCCTGGAGCCCACACATTTGGCTGCTTGCCTGGTGCCCGAAAAATTGCCAGCCGAAAAAAAGACAGACGTCTCGGACCTCTCGCGAATCCCCTCAGCAGCAGATCTCAAGGTGCGCAAGGATAGCCCTCGACTCAAGGCTTTTCGACTGCTCACTGACATCAGGCACTTTACCGCCAGATCGTCTTGCCACAATACAACCAAGGAAGAGCGCCTTTCCCTTCGCATTTGCGCGCCCACCACCGATCGATCATCCCACACTGCATTTGCGGGGCAACACCAGCAATAGACCATAATCCTTTGGTCGACACCGCTTCCAACGCACACATACCCATCACGCCAAAACCAGATTGACGACGACAAACAAAGTTCCCAGGAACGCATTACCCGACTCGCAACCGCAATCATGGCGCCGTCCTACGAGCACCTTCGCGAGGCAGACCTCGACGAAGACGAGTACGATGAGGAGGAGATCGATATTTCCGACCTGCGCGAGAAGTACGAGGTGCAACTCGAGCATGGCTACGACACGTTTGTCGTCATTGATGGCCTCCCCGCCGTCACCGAGGAGCAGAAGCCCAAGCTGGTCAAGTTTTTGCTGAAGAAACTGAACCAGGTCGGCAAGACGCGAGAGGACCTCATCTTCATGCCCATGGGTGAGGATGGCCTGTCTCTGAGGTAGGCGCATCCCAACGACATGTGTCTCACATCTCGCCATTTTGCTCACACGTCTCACAGATTCGCCTTTGTCGAGTACTCTTCCGCCGGCGAGGCCGCCGCTGCCGTCAGGGGCCTCGACATGGTTGCCCTCGACAAGAAGCACACCCTGCGTGTCAACAAGCTGACCGACATTGACCGTTACGGCCGCGAGGGTCGCGTTGACGAGGATTATACCCCTCCTCAGATTGAGGAGTTCCAGGAGAAGGAGCACCTCCGATGGTGGCTCAAGGACCCCAGTGGCCGTGGCCGCGACCAGTTCGTCATGTACCGTGGAGAGTCCGTTGGCGTCTGCTGGAACAACGAGAAGGAGCCTGCCGAGACCGTGGTCGATCGTCAGCACTGGACCGAGAGCTTCGTTCAGTGGTCACCCCTCGGCACATATTTGACTTCGGTCCACGCACAAGGTGTTCAGCTCTGGGGCGGCGCTTCCTGGTCCAGGCAAAGGCGGTTCGCGCACCCCTTTGTCAACCTCATCGCTTTCTCTCCCAACGAGAAGTACATCGTCACTTGGTCCGCTCGCCCTATCTCTATTCCCGAGGACGGCCACCCCGCGCTCTCTGTCGACGATGACGGCAAGAACTACGTTATTTGGGACATTGAGACGTCCAAGCCCCTCCGATCCTTCGCGAGCCTTGACGTCCCCGGTGCCGAGGGCGATGATGGCGTCGCTAAGCAGCGCAAGTCTCCCTGGCCTGCGTTCAAGTGGTCAGCCGACGACAAGTACGTCGCCCGTTTGACCCAGGGTTCCTCCATTTCTGTTTACGAGCTCCCTCGCATGGGTCTGCTCGACAAGACGACGATCAAGATTGACGGTGTCATGGACTTTGACTGGGCGCCCGCCACCGTTCACCGCGAGGGTGTCAAGAACTATGAGCAGCTCTTCTGCTACTGGACTCCCGAGATTGGCAGCAACCCCGCCAAGGTCGGTCTCATGAGCATTCCCTCCAAGGAGATTGTGAGGACATTGAACCTCTTCAGCGTCAGCGATGTCAAGCTTCACTGGCAGTCGGACGCCTCCTTCCTTTGCGTCAAGGTCGACAGGCATTCCAAGTCGAAGAAGTCACAGGCCACGTCGCTCGAAATTTTCCGCGTCAAGGAGAAGGGCGTTCCCGTCGAGGTCGTCGACACGATCAAGGACACCGTCGTCAACTTTGCCTGGGAGCCCAAGGGTGACCGTTTCGTCATCATCACGACCACCGAGCCCGCCGGCCCCACGGCCGTCGCGCCTAAGACGTCGGTCGCCTTCTTCTGCCCGGAGAAGAACAAGGGCCCCACGCCTGGCAACTTCAAGCACCTGCGCACCCTCGACAAGAAGAACAGCAACTCTATCTACTGGTCACCCCGCGGCCGCTTCGTTGTCGTGGCTACCGTTCACAACACGCAGAGCTCCGACCTCGACTTCTACGACCTCGACTTTGAGGGCGAGAAGCCCGAGTCAGACAAGGACCTGACTGCCAACCTTCAGCTCATGAACACCGCCGACCACTACGGCGTGACTGACGTTGAGTGGGACCCCTCTGGTCGCTTCGTCGCCACCTGGTCGTCCTCGTGGAAGCACAGCGTGAGTATTCTTGCGCACTATGCATCAATATCCCCCCTTCTCCAGAGACGGAAGACTAACACCTAGTAGATGGAGAATGGCTACCACATTTACGACTTCAAGGGCGAGCAGCTGCGTGAGGAGCACGTGGAGAAGTTCAAGCAGTTCCTCTGGCGCCCGCGCCCCGCGACGCTGCTCACCAAGGAGGAACAGAAGCAGATCCGCAAGAACCTGCGCGAGTACAGCAAGACGTTCGAGCAGGAGGACGCCGACCGTGGCGCGTCTGCGGACCGCGAGGTCGTCGAGGCCCGCCGCCGCCAGCTCGACGAGTGGCTCGCGTGGCGCGAGTCGATCGAGGAGGAGCTTGTCGAGGAGCGCGCCTACCTCGGTCTGCCCGAGGATCCCATCGCCGAGCTGCTTGCTTCCAAGGTCACCAACCCCGACGCCGAAGAGCAGATCATCGAGGAGATTGTGGAGGAGGTCATCGAGGAGACGGAGGAGATTCTGCAGTAGAGGAAGCATACGAGGATGAAGGGGTTTGGTGTGGTGTGGCCTAGCGGCGTGGGCAAAAATTTCGGTTGGCTTCTCGGTATGACGCGTTCGATTCGGGGCAAACGACGACAAGGACGGGCGGAAGGATCAGCCAAGGCGGATAATGGACTGATACATTGCAATGTCATTTTTTTGTACGAGCATCAGAAGCCTCGCATGGCATCGCTTCTCACAAAGAAATCTGGGTACACGCTATGTGGCGGTGACAATGAAACGTGAACGTAAAGCTGTCGGTGATCATTTGAGTGGCCGGAACCCACCGTTTCCTCCTTGATTCTTGTCGACGAGATTTCCAACCTCTGCTCTATACATTATCATCTCATATATACAGCAACCACGTCCCCTTTGTGTAAATTGGCGCCAGTGATATTCCCAGGTAGCATCACAATAATTAATCCTCCTCCCCTCCTCCGTTCTTTTTGTCCAGAAAGAAAGATCATCAAGTCGGCCGTAGGTCACGTAGGCCCTTGCGGAGCCTTGTCGCTCAAGACGGGGTTTTATGCCTTGCCGGCCTCCCTGAGCCAGCGCATCCAGCCTTCCTCATCACCAGATCCGCCGGCCAGCGCAACTTTGCCATTCTTCGTCGGTCCGCTCTCAACGAGCTTGCGGACCTCGTCGCCGTCGCGCGTGCCCAATAGCGCCATCTCCTGACGCAGCAGCATGGCTGTCGCGGCACGGACGAGGAGGGCATCACCTTCAAACACATACACGTCCCACAGGCGTGCGCACTCGTCCATAGCAAGGTGCGACGTGCCGAGTCCAGTGAAGATGGTGTTGAGATACACTTCCGGGTCGGCATCGGGTATGTTGCGGGTCAGGTGTTCATGTAGTCCAGGAGATTTAACCTGGAGCGTCTGCAGGACCAGGTTGTAGGCTGATGCCTTGGCGCCTGGGTCCGATGCATAGAAGCCGAGTGAGAGCGGGCGGTTGAGAACATTGGCGAGAGCAATGAATGCCGACGATGGGTTCGGCAGATTAAGCAAGAGAAGGGCCCCGACAGTCTGCTCATGTCAGTCACTGGAGCGGGGGGGGGGGGGTCATGGAGGGGGGCAGATTACTCACGTTGCAGCCCGCAACGTAGCCGATGTCGCTGCGATACATGGCGTATGCCGAGAGGAGATCGACCAGGCTCTGGTGTAGAGGCCCGCCGACCTGAAAGATACGCAGATCTCGCCACGTATTCTCGTTGACATCCTCTCTGATCTTGGAAAGCCAGGCCTCCTTCCTGATGTCTTCTGCGTCGCCCTTGCCTGCCTTGACGCGACTGTCGACATCATGCGCTCGGCCGAGCGCCGCCTTGAACGAGTTGGGCGTCAAGCCGAGCTCATTGCCAATGGCGCGAGACCACACTACGCCTCGACTTCGAGAGGCCACGCCTCGCCACCACAGCTCGCGGGTTCGCCGCTCCCTGATGGCATCTGACCACCGCGGTATGATGCTGTCTTCCCATATACGCATCAAGCCATTGGCCGTGACGTCACGGTCGTTGGATTTCGTCATCTTCTCTGCTTCCCGTCGACGCTCGGATTCCGCACTTCGTGCCATCATCTTCTCGTATTCTTTCCAGTGCTTCTTGTCCTCGTTTGGATCCTTCGGTGGCAGCCACGAGGGTCGCGTACGCCCGAGAACAGCTTCCTTCTCCTTCGACATGGGCATGGCGTCGATCATCATGTTAGATTGGCGCAGCGAAGGGAGATCTGGCAGCGCCGATTTGTGTCGCTGTTCCTTGCGGCCTCGGACGTAGGAGAAGCTGTCAATGTCGCCGCTGTCGTCGGCATGCTCCTCGAGCTTCTCCGTCAAGGCCTTGGCTTCGGCGCTGAGCCCCGAATGTACGGCGCTCCAGCTCTTGGCGCGGGCCTTGAGTGGCTCGGGTATATCGGCGTCGTCTGGTTCGGCGGCTGGGGATGTGGAACGTGCGGCAGCATCGGCATCCGTCTTCCAGGTCGGTGATTTGAGGGAGCCTTGGGCCATGGCTATGGCGGGTGTGCCGTTGCCCAGGCTGCGCACGCGCTCTTTGGGCGCCCTATCGCTGGAGGGCGCGCGAGAGGAGGGTCGGCTGAAGGCGCGCTCGGCCTGTGGACGGGGTGAGATGGGGACGTTATCGAGGAGAAGGCCGTCGGGGATGTTGTCGTCGTCGTCTTCGTCGCATTCGTTTTCCAGTTCAAGGACCGACTTCCTGTCGCGGTCCGACTGCCAGCTGCCGCGCCGTGGACGCATGAGCGTGTTCGGATCTCGCGGCACAAGGGACATGTTGGGGCTCGGGCTGCGATGGCGGCGGTTGGGGAACGAGAGAGACGTGGCGGATCGACTGAGGAGGCCTCTTGGATGGGGCATGCCCCTGTGGCCGTCGGCGGACCGAGCATTGAGGCTGGTGCTTCGGGTGTTGAAGGTTCGCGGGTCTGTCTGCAGCGTGGACAGGGCCGGCCGTGTACGGGGGACGGGGCCGATCTCGGGTTTCCTTCGTCCCTTGGCGCCTGCTGCGAGGTCTCGCGTCGCGGGAGGGGATATGGGGCTTGTGAGGCTCGTGAGACTGGTGCTCGACTGCGGTGTCGTGGCTGCATGCTCTGCCGCAGAGGTCGCAGCGGCGGCCGCATACCCGGGATGAGGAGGATATCGCTCGGTGGAGTAGGAACGGCCGTAGGGGTTGGATGGCCGGGTGCCAACAGAAGGGCGGGCGTGAGGGTCGCGCAGGTGTTTGGCAAAGGTCTTGGTAGCGAGGGTCGTGTCGTCCTCGAGGCCAATGTCTTCAAAGTGGCTCACGTCGTCGAGTACGCTGTTATCGTCGGAGTGGAGGGACATGGACTGGAAGGAGGAGGATTTGGACGAGCCCAGGGCCGTCATGTCTGGAGGCGACCCCAGGGCGGCACTGGCGGAAGCCGGGCGGCCCATGGGCCCGGCTGCTTCTTCGTGGTACATGGAAGTCGCCGCTCAATCTGTCTGCATGGCGGCAATGGGGATGGATGGATATGCGGGCGGGTAGATCGTGACACGACAGGTGGGAGAAGAGCGCGGCAAGGCGGTAGGCAAGCGACGGCGGGTCTGGTGATGTGATTGTGGTGATGGTTTTGTCTTGTCAGGTGCGGAATCGGCAGCAACGGTTGTTTCTTGCTAGGTCGTTTGGTCGGAGTGTTCAGGATTCGGCGAGGTCTCTTACCTCCATTATCGACTAGTCGTGGGGGCGTAAGGAGATATGATTGATGTTTTTGCTTGAATTGGAATTAACGGTGACAGCTGGCGCTGCTGCCAGCCTGCTACTCTTGATCAAGGAGGGGAGGAGATTGACGTGTGGCGCAGGGCTGCTGTTGACGTCTCTCACTGGATGACGGCTGAGGCCTTGCGAGAGCGACCTTACTTGTCCCTCGATTGACCAGTCCACGGGCAGGAGGCCTGGCCGCCTCAGCAGACGCGGCCGATCGGAGGCTCTGACTTTTGGATGGTCTCGACTCTTGCTTACCCCTGATTCAGCGGAGCCGTGCTGGCTGAGGGCGGGGGGTTGCCCAGTGGGCATCGACGCCGGACAGGGATAAGACGTGTGCCCTGGAGCTCCATGGTTGGTCTGCCCACTGTTGGTGGGTGCCTCCGCTGCTGAGAAGTGTGCCTCCACAGCCTGTCAATGGCTGGAGGGTGCCTGTCAAGCGAGGGGCCTGCTGCCCTGAAGGGGAAGTGCATCACATGCAGCAAGAGGGGTCCCAGTCTTGACAGTGTGTCTTGTTGTCATTTCCGGTGGTGCATGAAGCCCGACACCAATCACACTGACTCGCGATTGATCCCGGGGACATGCTGCACCTTGTTATTCTGCATCCGAATGGGTGATGCTGTTGGTCTAAAATAGTATGAGAAGAGTTCTTTTTTTGGTGTGTTGATTCCCTTGCTTCAGTCCCGTCAATATCTTGACCGATGATAGGCAGACTCCGAGAGCCCTAAAGGTAGACAATGGCAATCCAGGCAGCAGCAGGAAAACACCACTCGATTGACCAGTCCGGGACCAAACACGGTGCGTTCTCGCCCTGATAAGCTTCACGCCGGTGCCGCAGGACCCGTGCAGCGAGCCATCGTGACAACCCATCCTCATGACGCAAGTGCAACAGCTCCCCGCGTGATTGAGTTCCCGGCTCCGACGGCAGACATCACCCACGATTCGATGATGAGTACCACAACCCAAGACCTGGCCGTCTCTTGATCCTTTCTTTCCTCCCTCTATAAAGGATCTTTCCTCCCTCTACAAAGGATCTTTCCTCCCTCTACAACACCGGGACTGGAAGACAGCGGCCATGACTTCCTCATACACCAAGGCGACCCCTCCGCCATACGAATACAGCTCCCTGGCCCCACCTGTTGGAGCTCTGCCTGCCAGTCGAACACAATGTCGACAGCTCCGGATCCGTCACCGTCGCGGCATGAAGCTCCTGGCCATCTCCGGCTTGGCCTGTCTCGTCTTCCTCGTCTACGCTCAGTGGAACCAACTGACAGTCCTGCCTTCCTGGCGGCATTCTCACCTCGCCGCTGATCGTCTTCAAGAGGATCTTCAAACGTGCACCAAGCTTCGACGAAAGCCTCAGGACCCGATTGGCATGGGGCGTACCAAGAATGCACGCCATGTTGACGGCCACAAGCCCACTCTCATCCAGAATGCGACAATCTGGGTCGGTGAGCCTGTGAGAGGCACCTCGCTCGAGGATGCCCGCGCGGGCAAAGGCTATTCGTGGATCAGTGGCGATGTGTTTGTGCAGTTCGGACTGATTCAAAAGGTCAACGCTCACATCAGTCTCAAGTCTCTCCCTGACGACACGCAGATCTACGATGCCAAGGGTCGCCAGCTGACGGCCGGCATCATTGATATGCACTCGCACGTTGGCGTCAGCTCGCTGCCCGACCTAGCCGGCACCGAGGACACGAACGAGCTCTCCTCGGACATCACCCCCTATGTCCGTTCCATCGACGGCCTCAACCCGCTCGATCCCCAGTGGCAGGTCATCAAATCTGGCGGTGTCACCACCTCGCTGGTTCTGCCCGGCTCCGGCAACAACATTGGCGGCGAGGCCTTCGTTTTCAAGCATGCGATTGGCGAAAAGGATGGTCGCAAGGAGATCTCTGCAGCCGACATGCTTGCCGACCCTGACCGGAACTGGCGCTATATGAAGATGGCCTGCGGTGAGAATGCCAAGCGCGTGTACGGCAAGGTTGGACGCGGGCCCTTCTCGCGCCTCGGCGAGAGCTGGGAGTTCCGTCACGCATTCGAACAGGCTGCAGCCCTCGTGCGGAAGCAGGACGACTGGTGCGACCAGGCCGAAAAGTATGGCGTTGGCAGCCTAGACGATTACCTGCCGCAGAATCTGCACTGGGAGAGCTTAGGCGCTGTCCTTCGGGGGCAGATTCACGTCAACACGCATTGCTACACGATTCCTGACCTCGAGGCCTTCATCGACCACACCAACGAGTTCAAGTTTCCGCTGCGGGCATTTCATCATGCCCACCAGACCTACTTGGTGCCTGAGGTAATGCAAAGCCCCTGTTCTGGGGTTCTAGTCCTTTTTTGCTAATCATTCGACAAGATTCTCAAGCGGGCGTGGGGAGGTCGCCCGCCCGCTTCCGCTCTCTTCGCCGACAACATGTATTACAAGGCTGAAGCCTACGTGGGATCAGAACATGCTGGCAAGATTCTGTGGGATAACGGTCTCACTCCAGTTTACGTCAGCGACAACCCCGTCATCAACGCTCAGCACGTCCTCTTTGAGGCCGCGAAGGCATACCGATACGGTCTCCCCTACCATGCCGCGCTCGCTGGCGTCACGACAGCGTCGGCAGAGCTTCTTGGTCTGGGAGAACGGCTGGGAAAGATCAAGCCGGGATTCGACGCTGACATTGTCGTCTGGGACAGTGATCCGCTCAGCGTCGGAGCCGCGCCTGCGCAGGTCTGGATCGACGGCTTCGCGCAGTTTGAGAACCCTGTCGAGCTTGACAAGCCTCTGAAGGGACCGATCGCCGCGCCGAACTCGAGCGTCGCTGTGAGCGGCGGCATCTCGCATCACAGAAACATTGTCTTTACTGGTGTCACCAAGATTCTGCTCTCGGAAGGCAAGGGTCGGACGTCCTTGGACGGAGCCGTCAACGTTGTCGTGTCTGACGGCGAAATCACCTGTACAGGTGAGTGTAGCGTGGAGATCACCGCTGCTCGCCAAGGGGCGTCGCACAAGTTCGTCGCCCTCGAGGACGGCCACCTCACGCACTCATTCACGGCGTTCGGGTCGCAGATCGGGCTGAACGCCATAGACGCCGAGAGTAATACGGCCAACGGTGAGAGCACCGAGTTCAGCCGTGGGGTCGACGGGTTGGCACTGGACACGAAGAAGCTGCACGTGGCGCATCAATACGGCATCACGCGGGCCGTCTCTGCGCCAACGTTCTCTGGGGGACTGACGCACCGGGGCACCAGTGTGGGATTCGTCGCGGACGCACAGCACGCGCTCGAGAAGGGTGCCGTTTGGTCGGAGGATGCTGCTGTGCATTACACCCTCACTGTTGACGTCAAGCAGGGCAACACGCCCTCCATCTCAACTGCCGTAGGCGCACTACGCAAGGACCTGCTGGAAGCAGTCTCGAACAACGACACAATCTCCGACCCGCACTCGGAGGAGGCTTTCCTGAAGAGGGTGGTGGAAGGCGAACTGCCTCTGGTGTTGACAGTGCACAGCGCGGACACGATTTCTGCCGTGCTGCGGCTCAAGGCCGATGTCGAGGCCGTCATTGCCGCGTCGGAGTCGCCCTCGACAAAACTCCGCGTCGTCATCCTGGGCGGAGCAGAGGCGCACCTTGTGGCCTCTGAGCTCGCAGCGGCCGACGTTGGCGTGGTCCTGGCGCCATTCCAGTCGTACGCCGCGTCGTGGGATCAGCGACGTGCGCTCACGGGCGCGCCCCTGACGAATGGGACAGCGATAGATGCGCTCATCGATGCGGGTGTCACGACGGCCATCGGGCTGGAGGAGGACTGGCTCATTCGCGACCTGGCGCTGCTTGCGGGCATCGCCTACCACAACGGCGGTGGGCGCCTTTCGCAGAAGCAGGCCCTTGACCTCGTGTCGTCAAACGTGTACAAGCTGCTAGGCGTCAAGGAACAGGCGCAAGACGATAGGCATTTCGTGGTGTTCGAGGGCAGCCCGTTGGACATTGGCAGCCGTGTGCGTGCGGTTGGAAATGGAAAGAAGGAGACTACATTGATGACATGACATGGTAGGAAGCAAAAAGAGACCTAAGCTTAATACATTAGGTTTACGAAGACGATGGCAGCATGATGAAGAATCCCGGTCCTTTCAGAGACGTCGACTTGTTTGTGTTGGAGGTCTATGGAGGAAAAAGGTGTTGTATTGGGAAGCTATTCTCTAGGGCAGGAGGGTGCCTGGAACTAAGCTATGGGAGGGAGGTGCCAGGGCACAGGCTACCTGGCATCAGGTGATTGCTGGAAGCCCTAGGCGAATACTACTAATACCCCCTTATAGGTACTATCTAAGGCGTATTAGCTATTAGGTCTATAAGAGTCCCCGTAGGTACTTTATAATAGGCCTCTTTCCTAATCCTAGTACTCTAAAAATATAATCTCCTAGTTAATTAAAAGCTTAGGATTAATATAATAATAATAGCTAATTTAATTTACGTTAATAAAGCGTAATTAGCGAGTAAATTCTATATATTTCTCGAAGCTAAGGCCTTTTATAAGTCTATTAATAAGTATTTTAGCGGAAAATATATAATAAAGCTTAAAATCGCTTATAATAATATATTCTTAAACTTATTTATATTAAATATCGATATAGCGAGTACGTATAGCGTTAAGAAGGTTAAGGGTAATTATTAGAATATTCTAATTATCTATTAATAAGATAAAAGGCTTTAGAATTTATACTTTAAAGGCTATTATAATA